GCGGGGGCAGTGCCAGCAGTGTGACAGGGACATCCCCCGGCCCCTCGCCCACCCTCTCCAGCCATGGATGACATCTATAAGGCAGCGGTAAGTGTCTCCCTTTGGGGCTCTGGTTTAGGGAGGGGGATTTAAAAGGTGCCTGGGGATTTTATAGTAGACTTCCCAAAGCCTTGACAGTATTCATTCCACGGAGAAATGCAAATAGGAAATAACTATAGAGCAGCAACTTTTAGTCAGCGTCCTCACCCAGGACACAGACTCTTCCCACTGATGGCTCTGGAGGTGTCATACTCCTCTTACAAGTGTGAAACTCTCCACTGTCCTGCTAAATTATTTACAATTGCTCCCCTGGTTCCCTGCTATAAGGCAGGGAGATGGCTCACAGATGAAGTGAAGATCTCAACAAGGGGTGGCTGCTGGTTATAGTCCAGACAAAGCAGAGCAGCATTTCCCAGGAAATAAATGTTATATGTATGGATTAAATCTCACCTTCTTCTTTCTGGTGCGTTATAATTCTGTTGCTGCTATGGTTTTACCCTCCTTAGCTGAATATTTTTCTGGGGGATTTAAAAAAAGCCCTTGTTTTTCAATAAGTTATTTCCAAACCTCCTCCTCAGATTTGCTGCTCCTGCTATCTGCTATGCAGAACCCAGAATGTGAGCTATGCTGTGGGGAACGTGGAGCATCCCTATGGCTATTTTAACTTACACAGCTGCACACTGTGCTCACTGTGTAAATCCAAACTATTTGGTCTGTAATAAGAACACTGCATTATTCTGTAATGTAGGCAGATAGTGATGTGCAAGTGGAATAAGGATGAAAATAGACTGGATTGTGTGGATTGCAACTGCATCCCTTCTATAGCTGAAGTTACAGTAAGAGTTTTTTGGTGCTTTTTGTTTTCCTTAAATATAGAGTTAATCAGGTTTGATTTTAACCAAGTGCACAAAAATACATCATACAAGTCCTATTTTAATTCCAAGGTTTTTAGAGGAAAGAAGGATAGTGCTTGATAGATAATTGAAGAAAAAAACCCTCAAATGCTCACACCTCTCCTTGTCCTTCAGTCAGCCCTGGGCCTTGGGAGATGGAACCCCTGTAGTGATCCTGGTAGTGTGAAAAGGCTCAGGAAAGGCTGAGTTCCCCCTGCCAACACCTCCAAAAGGAGGGGAAATGGGACCTGTAAAATAAAAGAAAATCCAGGCCTCTCTAATTAAGATTTTTAATTAAATATGTTCTCTGTGACTCAAGGCACAGGTCCTCTCCTTATTGTTTAGGAACCACATGCCTATAATTAGGTAAATGTGGGGCTTGAGTCCTGTGCACCTTTACAGAGGCAAAACATGTCTAAGCCAGGCACAGCTGAGACAAACAGCTTTTTTTTGTGGATCCATTTCTCACAATTTTAAGTGTAAGATTTTAAGTGTAACGTTTAGCTGGAAAAATTATTCAAGAACTACAGTTTCCCCTGTCTGACTTCAAATGGAACCATGGGGTGGAGAGAAGAGCTGAGAAAAGCAAAATACAGCAGATTTGGCATTACCATGGCTGCTTTTGTGCTATGAGCTTAAAGATTGCCTTCCCCCACCACAGCCAGAGCAACCTGTGCTTGCAGTGATGTGGAGGGAAAAGAGGAATAAAGCTGCCAACAGCACCCATGTCCAGAGGGCACTATGAACTGATTAAGAGACACATCTGTAATAAAAGTGTCACTCTAAAGTGACAATACATTTAATTTACATACACCACATCTATCACTTCAGTAGTCAAGAAAGCTTCAAAAGTATTTTTACATTTTCTGCATGCTGATAGCATATATTAATATTACACTTGTGCCAAATTTTCTACATGCAGCCAGAGAACCCAATGGAGGTTCATCTTGCCCACTCATGGCTAGATAAGGGTGTGCAAACACAAAGCTATTTTGGGAACAATTTTAGACTCCGTTAAGTGGTGCTTAGAACAGTGGCAAGGACAAGTGTCCAGATAAAGGGCTGCAAGGATAAATACCAAAGCCTGGTAACAATGGGGGAGCTCATCTTTATCTCCAGCACCTCTCTCACCCAGGCGTATAAATAGCAACTGCACCAAGAGAGTCATGTTACCAGCAGCAGGATGGTGGCCATGGACATCAGCCGAGGGAGTGTGGCAGCTGCCCTCACTGCCCAGACTATACCCATGGAGGGACAGCAGCTGCCTGGCTGCCTTCTGCTTGCCTTCAGCGGCACCAGGGACACAGGGGCTTGGGTTTTCTCCAGCAGTGGCAATCCTGCCACCGTCTTTAGTGCTTTCTGACTTGAAAGTCTTCACCTCCTGCTGCCTGGGGAGTGGGATAAGGCTCTCTGCCCTCTTCCTGTGGGCTCTCTCCTGCTAAGGAAAAGTACATTCCCTGCCTCTTGCTGCAAGCAGGAAGGATTACCAGCTGGCTTTTGCAAAATCATGGCTCTTTGGGGCAAAAGAATCAGTTTTCCTTCAGAGTGCCACAATCCTGGGTTGTGGGGTCCTGCCTCAACTGAGACATGGCAGAGATGGGTGTTTGGCACTGCTTGAATGGGAATAGTATCAAAGAAAATGTAGTGGGGAGAGACACCTCCTGCACAGACAGGCAGCCACATACCTGGCTGGCTCCAGAGAGGATGTTGACCAGGGTCGATGTTTTAATGGATGCTACCAAATGGGCAGTTGGACACAGTGGTAAGGTCAGCAGTTTTAGATAAGCACTACCTGCTGGCAGGAAAGAAGCCAAAGAGAGACATGCACTTAAAGACACATGGCACAGAGCTGATTGATTCCTCTTTGCTCTCCTCATTGATTATTTTCATTAATTCATGCTAAGTAATAAGCTCCCACTGATAGTCTGTGGGGACTGAATTAGGGCAGAGTTTGAGATCTATCTGCCAACCTGTTTCAGATAATGCTGAATGGCACCTTTCTTAAGGGAGATTCCCAAACCCAGCTAAAGGGAATAGCAACTCCCTTCAGAGTCAAGAGCCTTTGTTATAACACTGTCTCAGATGAAAAGTATAGCAGTTAATGCTCTGGATAGTGCAGGGACTTTCCTGAATCTAGGGCTGAAAAACAACACCTGGGAATACTCTTGTCCACTTCTCCATCCTCAGGAACTTCTCAAACACATCCCGCCTCTGA